TTGATCACGCGGGCCCCCGCTGCTGCGGAGGCGCTTTCACGCAGTTTGCGCGCTGAGATCAGAGCCTGCCGATGTCGCCAATTAGTCGTGCAGGGGGATCTCGGTCTCGGGTCATCGGAGCCACCCTGTCCAGGCTCGATTACCACTGCGGCGGCGCCTGGCTCCACGGATGCCCCCGCTGCTGCGCAAGCCGCCTCCTCAGCCGTTATGACTACAAGGCGGTTGGCGGCGGCCGTTAACTTCCGCGCATCTTCGATCAGGCCATTCTGCATCAATTCCTGAGCAACCAGCAGGCTCTGCGAAACGCTTTCCTGGGCACCAGACATCGACGAAAACAATGACCGCAGTTTCGTTGCAACCTCCCCCCCCGCTGCTGCGGAGGCCGGTGCTGGATCTGCCATTCCATGCGGAACTGCATCAGGGGCCTCCTCTGGCAGCCCCCGCTGCTGCGGAGACTTCGGCAGAGGTTCCTGCGCGGCTCCAGTCGCGCCAGGCTGCTCCATGCCCCGGGCCGCTCCCGTCGCGGAGGCGGGCGGGCGCGGCGGGGGGCAGACCTGCAACGGCTGCGGATTCACTTTATCGCAATGCCATCCCTCCCTGCGCTCAAATGACTTTTCCCCTTGCGCCACTCTGCTGCTCCCACTTCTGAACTACCTCATCCCTTCTACCTCTGCCTGCTCCCTCCTCTTCCTGTTCAGTCCTCCCTCCTCCCTCCACCGCGCTCATTTCTCCTTGCTCCCTTCTCTGCTCCTCCTACGTGGGGCGTTTCGCGACAACGACGACGACGACGCCGACGAGAACGATGACCACGACGGCGACAACGAGGGCAACGACGACCACGACGACGACGACGAGGACGATGACCACGACGGCTACCAGCGACGACGACTAGCGACGACGACGACGACGACGACGCCGACCACGACGACGACGGCGAGGACGACAACGAGCGACGACGACGACGACAACCGACGCCGACGAGGAACGACGACGACGAACGAGGACGACGATTACGACGACGAGATGACGAAGGATCGAAGATCGAACCTCGAAGTGCGAAGCTTCGAAATTCAAACTTCGATCTTCGAACTCCGAACTTCCAGCTTCTAACTGCGAACGTCGCTGGGGTGCCAGGGATGGACTGGGATGGAGGGAAAATGGGAAGGAAAAGCGAGGAAGCGGGAGAGGAAGTTGGAGGAGAACGAACAGGCGTGGAGCGACGAGGAACGGGCGGCGAGGAGCCGACGTTGAGGGCGGCGGGATGGGGGGACAGGGAGGAGAGGGGAGACTTCAAAACGAAAATCGCGCCACGGCGCCTGCACGCGCGCTCCCGATCTCGGCGGCCGACGCGCGCGCCCCTGCAGAAATGCAACGCGCCCTTAATTCGAGCCCCGCTGCTGCGGAGCCACCTACTCCACAACCAAATCGTCTGGGGAGCTGTTCGGACCCCAAACTACTAATTAGTTCTTCAGCCACTCGGCTCTTGCGAGTCCGCCCTCATGACAAAGGGCAACCTTCACATGGGGGCACTCAGTGGGGTGTTGATTGAGAACGCCCCATGTGGCTGGTGGCAGGAACGGACGAGGGGGTGCGGATAGAGGAGCAGGACGAGCACTGGCAGGGGATATGCACCAGGAGAGAGATCTCATGGAGGAAGAGGAGGGGAGGGGACGAGAGCCACTCATAATTAAGCGCACGCAGGCCCACGCACGTGCTCCATTTCTCAGCGACCGCCGCGCCGCCATGAGAACTGTCGTACCACCGCCGCTAATGCGGCGGATGCGTGACCTCTCCCATCCCTGCCCTGCGCTGTTTCTGCTACCGCCCTCCCCCCTCCCAGCCAAGCTCGGGTTTCATGCTCGGAGACGGGCGCGGCTGGCGGCTCTTAGTGCGGGTGCGCGTGCTGCCTCCAACTCCTCATCCCCCCCTCCTCCTCTCCTCATCCCCCCTCCTCTTCCTCCTCGTCCTCCTCTATCGGCCCAGCTCCGATCGCCGCTCAGCTCTCCTGGTGCGGCTGGCGGCAAAAGTACCGAATATTGCCTGGGATGTCCTTCACCTTCTTCTTCGACATCTCAAGCATCATCTTGCCCATCTCCTCGGTGCGGCGCGCCTCCTCCATCATCTGCCGCGCCTGGTCGACGAGCATATGGCCCTTCACTCCAACGGCGCGTGCATGGCGGCAACGATTGCGCCACTGGAGAAACCGCACCACCATGGTTGCCCAGTGCCAAACACTGCCCTCCGTCGTGATGAGCTCGAAGTCATCGGCGTCGTACCTGCCCGCGATGCTCGCCATAGCGGCGCAAAAAACAGCGAAGGAGCCTCCTCTGGCAGTCCCCGCTGCTGCGGAGACTTCGGCAGAGGCTCCTGCGCGGCTCCAGTCGCGGAGGCGGGCGGGCGCGGCGGGGGGCAGACCTGCAACGGCTGCGGCTTCACTTTATCGCATTTCCATCCCTCCCTGCACTCACATGGCTTTTCCCATTGCGCCAGTCTGCTGCTCCCACTTCTGAACTACCTCATCCCTTCTACCTCCATCTGCACCCTCCTCTTCCTGTTCAATCCTCCCTCCTCCCTCCACCGTGCTCATTTCTCCTTACTCCCTTCTCTGCTCCTCCTACGTGGGGCGTTTCACGACAACGACGACGACGATGACCACGACGGCGACAACGAGGGCGACGACGACCACGACGACGACGACGAGGACGATGACCACGACGGCGACCAGCGACGACGACTAGCGACGACAACGACCGACGACGACGACGCCGACCACGACGACGACGGCGACGACGACAACGAGCGACGACGACAACGACAATCGACGCCGACGAGGAACGACGACGACGAACGAGGACGACGATTACGACGACGAGATGACGAAGGTTCGAAGATCGAACCTCGAAGTGCGAAGCTTCGAAATTCAAACTGCAACCTTCGAACTCCGAACTTCAAACTTCGAACTGCGAACTTCGCTGGGGTGCCAGGGATGCAATGGGATGGAGGGAAAAATGGGAAGGAGAGAACGAGGAAGCGGGAGAGGAAATTGGAGGAGAACGAACAGGCGTGGAGCGACGAGGAACGGGCGGCGAGGAGCCGACGTTGAGGGCGGCGGGATGGGGGGACAGGGAGGAGAGGGAAGACTTCTTTACGAAGATCGCGCCACGGCGCCTGCACGAGCGCTCCCGATCTCGGCGGCCGACGCGCGCGCCTCTGCAGAAATGCAACGCGCCCTTCATTCGAGCCCCGCTGCTGCTGCGGAGCCATCTACTCCGAAACCAAATCGTCTGGGGAGTTATTCGGCCCCAAAACTACTGTTTGCCACCCGCTGCTGCGGACGCCGAGGGCCTGGTGCTGGACGCCGCGGCCCCGCTGCTGCGGGGCCCCTGAGAGGGCGTCGGCCTCCCCTTCTCTCTGGCGGCGTCGAACTTGACTTTACGCTCCACACCGAGGTCCTTGTGCCAGCGAAAAGTTCCTGACCCGTCGCTCCCGCCCAAACCCGCGGTTGGTGGCCTCACCGCGTCCGCGCGAGGGACGAGGGGCAGAGCTTCGACCTTCCTGTCGCCCCAGTGCGGGTGTAAACGGACGCCTGTCCCGTCGTCGCGGTGCAACGCGAAATCCCACATCGGCAGCTTCACTTTCGCCCGCTGCCCCGCGAACTGTCGCGCGCGCACAATACTCTGACGCACGTGGTCGTAGCTGTTTGGCCGGACTTCGAGGGAACAGCCGATCAGAGCCCCGCTGCTGCGGGGCCCCTCCACGACCTCCCTGACATCTTCCTCCCTGAGCGTCGCCACCATCTCTTGCCACCGCCAAGGGACTTCCTCGTCGCTTTTGAAACCAAAGCTCGTCCTCGCACCGTGGTCGCAAACAGCGACCATGGTGGGCTTCGCATTGTCAAACCACTTGGCTTCTGACTCGAACGGGGCAGTTGGGTCTTCATTCAGATGGCGCCACCATTTCAACGCTTGATTGTGTTGCTTAAACGAAGTGCCGAGCCTCTCTTCATAACTCAAAAAATAATTAACATCAAACTTCTCAAAATCCTGGGGCCCGCGCGCCGCCGCCGCTGCGGTGGCGCGGGGCTCCTGCGCCGCAGGCGCGGCTCGGGATCCCGACCCCTCTCCTGAAACTGTGTTCCCAAGTTCTGGTACGTTTCGGAGGGCAGCCCTCACGAAATTATCGAATTCGGGCTTGCCGAGACCAGGGGCGCGGGGGCTCACAACGCTAAGCGCGGCGAAGCGAGACGGCCGTTGAGACGAGACCGCCGCCGCTGCTGCGGCGGCAGGGCCATCGCGCCATTTGGCGTCCTCCGTTGGCGTGTGCCCGTCTTGTCGCCAGTCTCTCCAACCCCTCGCTGACCAATCATGGCCGTCCTCCCAGCCACGCCAGCCGCTGCTGCGGCTATCCCACCATCCTCCCGCGCCATCCCATGTGTATCCGCCTGCATCGCCCATTGCAAGACGATGGCGCAGGCGCGCGTTAGGCCGCGACGGGCCCAGCTGCACCGGTGCTCGCGGGCGATCCCACGGGCGCGGGGTGGTTTGAGCATAGCGGCGGCGGACGACGCGACGTGATTGGACGGCGGAGAACTTGAAAGGAAGGGGGGTTGGAAACGAATGAACGAAGTGGACGAAGAGCGGAAATCGAACCAGAGGGAGGCGAAAAAAGAGCGGAAAAGAATAAGGACATGCAGACGAAGGAGAGTGACGAGGTAGATGGCGGGCCAGAACGGCAACGGAGGATAATGTGGTGGAAATTGTGAAAAGGACGCATGGAACAACACGACGAGGATCACAGACGCAAAGATGATGAGCGCAGTGGTAACATGACATATCCGAAATCAAGAAGCAGGATGAGGAGGAACGGGATGACGAGCAACTCTGTCGCAGAGAGCCTCCCAACGCACCCCCTCTGTCACAGAGGGCCTCCGAACGCACCTCCTCTGTCACAGAGGGGGTCCGAAAAACACCCCCTCTGTCACAGAGGGGGGAAATGATCACTTTAATGCGGCTTCTGGATTAGTGGCCTCCGAGAAGACTGGCCCCGTAGTAGCACCCCGTGGCTGTGGCAGGTCGATGTAGTCCTGGGAGGCGGCCTCAATGATGACGCCCTCCATCGCGTTGAAGTACTCGGAGGGGTCGGCAAAGCGTTTGCCACTGCCGCAGACGTCACTCCAATCCTCCTGCAAGCTCATCGCCTCGATGCCCTCCTGGACCTTCGTGCGGAAAAGATGCACACGATCAGGGATGGGATGGCTGTGCTCGAAGTCCTCCTCTGCCAATTGGACTGCGCGCAGGTCTTGGATGAGAAGTTCACGGCGCCAACGGGGTCGTGCAGATGGTACAGAGGACTTCAAGCGGGCCCCGATGAACAATTTCGTCTGTAGAGGGCGGTGGTCCCGATATCCTCCGAGGTTGACTGGAAGGTCGAAGCGAGGGCGGGAATCGTGGCCGTATCCACCTTGGCGTCGGACAAGAACATAGTCGATGGTGGTCCAGGCTCCTGCGGGGCTCCTCCATGTGCCATTGCGGCGGCCTTTCTTCCCGAACGTATTGAGTGCCGCCAGCCCGAAATCCTCCAGGATGTCCATCAGAGCGCGCCCGTTGCTGTTGATGAGAGGACCATGCCCACGAACGCCAGCGTGGCCCACCAGAGGAAGGTGGGGAGGCAGGGGAGCATTGGCGTCCAGCGTGACCACCTCGAGCCGTCGAGGCTTTCATCTACTTCCGCCGGCTTCCGCCAGCCTTCCGCCAGCTTTCGCCTGCGGCGGCACCCTCGTTCCACCTCCGCCGCCTTCCGCTGGCCTTCTGCCGTGGAAGAGGTATTACCTCCTTCGATCATCGAAGGCGACGCCCCTTCTAGAGCGCTCCACGTGGAACACGCACAGGCCACGCGAAGGATGCGTGTGCGGGGGGCCCGCCGTGCCAGCGGCGGGGGGGGGCGCGCGACCGCTCGTGCATCCAGCTCTCGCCGAGGCCGGCCACATCGTGCGCATCCAGCCTCTGGTACGGGCCACCGCCGGGCTGAGGGAACCGCCCCCGCCGCACTCCCAGGGACGACCCTGAACGTCTCAGCCTGCAGGGGAGCTGCAGCACCGGAACTGAGCAAAATTTAAGATTGCTCTTCTTTCGGTCCGACCGCAAGCGCACACGGCTGCGGGCGAAGCACCATAGAAGCTCTCAGGGCCATCCACGTTGAGTCCGCTCGACCCTGACCTCCTCAGATTCGGCCTCATCGTCGTGGTGGTCCTCGTCCTCCTCGTCGTCCTCCCCCTCCTCCTTCCCATCCTCTTTCTCCTCCACCAGCTGTTCTCTGTTCTTCCAACTCAACTTCTGTCCCCCACCCATGGGCTGCAACACACGTTGCGCCATAACTTGCGCCATGGACTGCGCCATGAGCCACGGGTTGCGCCATGATCTGAGCTCCAAGCTACGCGATGGTCTGCGGCATGGGGTGGCCGATGGGTGGCAGTCTCGGCAAAAAGCTTGCGCTGCGAGTGCGTTCCTGGCCACCGGTTGGGCCACCGGCTGCGCTCTCGGCCGCTGCGCCCTCGGCCGCCAAAATCAATCCGCCCGCTAGCGGGTGCGAGCTGTGACAGTGCGACTGGGTCGTGAAGGTGCGCGGTAAGGATGAAAGGCCCCTGGACACACAACTTGAAGCTGACAATGGGAACCCACGGCGCACTACTACGGGTTAGGATGGGCCGAGAGGCAAGAATGCAAGGATTCCCTTGGCAAAGTTCGCCTACTCTTGATCCTGCTTGTAACCAATTTAGTCCAGTATGCCCTGCATACTTCCCGAACAATAAGGTCATGCGACGCACAGCCCCGACGGGACCACAGAACCTATCACGGCGGATCGGCGAAGACAAGACGACACCAGCATCAGCACACGCACAAACGTTCGGAGGCACGCGCGGACTCCTTGGACCGGCGCAGCCCCCAAGCCGTCTTGATCGTCGTCGTGGTCCTCGCCGTGGTCGCGGCCGCGATCGTGGTAATCGTCGTCGCCGTCGTGATCGTCCCAACCGCCGTCGCCTTCGCCGTGGCCGCCGTCGTCGGCGTAGGCGTCAGAGTCGGAGGCGCCAGAGCCGTCGGAGTCGGGGCCGCCGGGGCGCGGGCGCTCGGCGCCCGCGCGAGCCCGAGAGCCCGAGAGCCCGAGCCCGCACCACCCGAACCGGAGGCCGAGCCCGCGCGCGCGCGCGGAGAGCCTTGGACCACAGGTGCTCCCGCACCCGCGAAAGGGCGCGCGGGCTCCCGCGCAGGTCGCCGCGCAGCGCGGCGGCGCCGCCCAGCGCGCCCTCGAGCTCCGGGGGGGAAATGGTGCCCTGCAGGGACCTCCCCGGGCGCGGGCTGGGGACGAGGCAGGGCGTGCCCTCAGACATCGATCCTCGATGCTCGTCCGTCTCCCCCCCTCCCCTTCTTCCTTCCTCCCCCCCTGCCTCCTCCAGCTTTAGCACACAGCCAAATCTTCGGCCGGCCTGCCCGCACGGGATGTTTCGCACAGGCTCTTGTACATGTGAATTTGAAGTCTTATGTTTGAGTGCTTTGAGGGTTCGTCGTAGATGACACAACCATCCTCGATTACCATCCGTCTCTCCCCCCTCCTCCTTCCTCCTCCCTTCCACCCCCCCTTCCAGCATCCTCCTTCCTTCACCATCCCCTGGAGGTCGAGGAAGAGCGAGGATCAGCAGCAGGACGGGGGGAGGACTCGCGGCGGGCGGGCGCGAGCGAGCCCGCGGGCGAGCCATTAGGAGGCAATTCCTGGGATGTTTTCGTGGGACCGACGAGGCGCTACAGTCGGACCTGGCTAGAAGAACATCCTTCAACAGATGTGACCCTCCATCGGCCAAAACACACACACAAAACGTCCAAGGCTACCAGGGTACCCTCCCCAAGATGCACAAGAGCATCCAACAAACACGAAGAACTCTATGGCACCCTCCCCGGACCGACCTCGACCTTATACCCCGGTCCGACTGTATCGAGCCTGATTAAGGGGGCACTGGGACGGAATGGCCCAAAACAGGCTCAGGATCAAAGATTAGGCCCAGTGGAGCAGGACTGAGCGGAACTGGCTGGGCTTAAACTGAGCTGTAGGATGGATTGGGCCAGGCAAACACAAGGCCGCATTGGATCGTTGAGACATCGGAATGGGGTCGGATCGGGCTGACCGGCATCGATATCGAATCGCATCCACCAGATCGAAGTCAAGCCTTGAGGGTCGACGAGGTCGCTCGGGCGTCGGCGACAGCGGCGGCGGCGACAGCGGCGACGACAGCGGCGACGACAGCGGCGGCGGCGGCTGCGACGGCGACGACAGCGGCGGCGGCGGCGGCCGCTGCGACACCGCTCGGCGGCGGCGGCAGCCACTGCCGCGCTTTGGCGACTGGCTGGCGGCGGCGACAGCGGTGGGTCTGGGAGGGGTGGGAAGGGGTGGAGGGAGAGGAGGAGGGGAGGGAGGGGGAGTGGAGGGAAGGAGAGAGAGATGAAGGCAAGCTAGGTGCTATCGAGCCGCATCTGACACCCGATCCATCCCACCCAAACATGCCCATTGCGCAGATTTGTCTTCATCCGCCGACGAGTGCCATAGCGGACATGGAACCCAGAAAAAGTACAACATCGCGCTATGCGCGAAGGGGAGAAAAATAGAGAGGATGGGAAAGAGGGGGGGGAGGACGCGAGGCAGGGGTCCAAAGTGAACCTAAAATGCATCAGATCAGCGAGGCTACAAACGAACCGCCCGTTCCACCCACCCTCCACATAGGTACCTAACCCTTGACGGACGAGCGCCCACGATCCTGCTCGTCTTTGGAGAACCCCAGTACGAGACGGACCCGCCCCTCACCGAGGGCCGACCCAGAGGATAAACGCCTGAACTGACCACCATGTGGTGGGAGGCCTGGGTACGACGACGATGACGAAGGCAACGAAAACGACGCCGCCTCACGGTGGTGCCTCCTTTGGGGAACACAAGAGAATGACCATACGGCTACCCCACAGACCTCTCCAGAAATGCGTTCCGACCTCAATTTCGAGGCGAATCGAGCTGTGGTGATGAGGGAGTGGCAGTGGTACACGGGATCAGTATCGCCTCCTCCTCTGAGCTCTGACCAGCCACCACCACGAGTCCGACAACATCTACGAGGAGAACCCTGGCCGCGTGGGGACGAAGGCGCCCCATGGTGGCCCAGTTCGGGGGCACGAGAAGAGCGCCTAGAAGCCTCCGAGGTCTCGACGTCCTCGGCGAAGAGGCGACGGCCGACGGCTGCCTGCTCAAAACGAGCTTCCATCCACGCGGCTGCGGAGGCCCCTGGAAGCCCCAGAAGGCCCCTCCCGGGCTTCCTGACATGCTCGCGTGACAAGAAGCACGATGTAAGGATTTTAACAACTTCTGGCCTCCAGGAGGCCCTCGCTGGGCCCCAGGGTCTTAACAAAACCAGCTCAGTATGAAGAGCTGGTTCCCGAGATGGGGCTCGGACCTCTGGGGACCCCCCCGGCGAAAAAACCTCGACGGCGGATGTCTGGGCTCAGAACAGGGCCGAAAGCATCCAGAGATCTCACACCTCGAACCTCGACTTTCCAGCCTCGATCCTCCGACGACGACGACCTGTAGGCGCCGCCCAGGAGCACCCCAAACGTCGCCTCGTTGCCGCGGCCGCCCATCCGCACCGGGCCGGGCCGCGCATGCCGCCGCCGCGCCACGGGAGAGAGACGAACCCCCTCGCGTGGCGACGAGGGGCGGCAGCTGGTGATCCCGTGCCGAGACAGCTCGCCGGATAGAAATGCCTACTGCCAGCCAGCGTGGACTGCAAGAACCCCGCCCACCCACCCGAAACCTGCTGGCACACCGGCGCTAGGCAGTGAGTGGTGATGGCGACGGCAACGATGATACCGCTGACGATGGCAACGATGACGCTGACGATGATAGCAGTGGTGATGATGAGGCTATTCAGGACGTGCGTGCGCGCAACAAAATGACTGCGTGACATCTGAAGTCCGTGGGATGTTGGATACCTCGGTGTTGAAATGCTTAGATCATCAATACTTTCAGATGAGTTTCGAGATGAACTGGTTGAGATGCGCGCGTGTGGCGCGCATGTCATTTGGGCGAGCTGACAGTGCAAGACGATTGTTGGATGGTTTCGACGTGTGCGCGCGAGTGGACTGCATGAACAAATTTGACATACTGACCAACAACCCTTTGTTTCCTGATCGGCTCAGCAAGTGCGCGCGCACAGACATCTTGCAATTTTTTCCCAACCCTCCCTTGGTTTGGTTCACGTTTTGAATAAAGCAGTATGGGCTCCACCTCCGTCCTTCCTCCCGCCTCCCTCCTCCCAGCATTCCCTTCGTCCACTCCCCGCCCCTCCCCTGTTTCCTGTTGAGTCGTCCTCTCCCTCGTCGGGACCTCGCCGGCCCTGCGCGGCTGCGAAATGCGCAACTGTCGCCATTTTCGTGGGCTCATGGCAGGTCCAGCGGAGTGAAGGTCCACGCAAATCTGCCGAGACCTCGCAGCCCCCTGAGCGGTTGCGAACCGCGCAACTGTCGCCGCTTTCGTGGGCTCCTTGGAGGTCCATCGGAGTAGAGG